GGGGGGAGAGGGGGAGCAAAATAGGACGATGAGGAGGAGGACGAGGGGGAGGTGTGGGGGTAACAGGGAGCTGGTTTTTTCATGTTCGGTCTTCGATGACTGGTTCTGCGTCTCAGATGTCGCGACAACGGCACGACACTCGCGCTACAGCAGTGGTACATTACAAGAGCGGGACGCGGATGGGTCTTGTTGTTCTTGGACACTCTGCTCTCTGTCCTCCTCCCTGCTGTCGTGATCAATACCTCTTCGTTCGGGTATCACGTACACGCACCGCGTGGGAATGGAGGGGGGGGGGGGGGGGGGGGGGGCACGTCCCCTGGGTGGAGGCCAGCAGTGAGTCTGTCCCAGCAACATCAGGCAGGTCGATTTGTGCGGACCGGAGGGGGAGAAACCAAAAAGGCAGGAGCGGACAACCAGAATTTGGACATACTGGCTGCAATCGAGAGAGTTCGAGGTAGTGATATTTGTTGAGCTTGGACAGCAGTACGTCGAACACGGGAGCGCGGTGGGCGCCGGGGTTGGGTTTGGGGACCAGGGAGGTGCACAAGTGAGTGCTACTACACTTGATACTGGTAAATATTTTGGGGGGCGGGTGGCTCATCGAAACCCGCAAGGCGGTGGCGCTTCTACTTGCATCTATTGAGCTTGGGCATCACGGAGCCTAGCAAAGGTGCGACGAGGGGAGCTGGGGGGGGCAGGTGTGCTTATCTCAGGAACATTTTTTGAGCCCGGACATTACAAGAGCCTGGCAAAATGTGGAGCCTCGGGGGGCGGGGGGGGGCACTGGTGGCATAAGTCGATAATTACGTGTTTCTGAGCTAGAATATCACGGTAGAGCTTTTGAAGAAAATCCCAGAGCTTTGAACGGGGGTGAGTTGGAGGGTTGCAAGAATCGTATGGATATGTAACAGTTATACACGGTGTTTGGGTAGCTGGCACCGCTTGGAACCCGGCGGCTAGTGTGGCAGCGAGGGGGGCGAAGGAGGGGCACGCGCGCGGGGGGGGGGGGG